AAAAAAAAAAATAAACGGGCGTCCATTGTTCGCCCGCGTTCCGTTCGCTTTTGTCTACGCAGCAGGTACATTAAAAATATCCGTTTCGGCCGTGTACGCCGTCGTCGTCGCGGTCGTCTTTTCGTATATTATTAATAACGTTTTAGGTATCGTTGTAAAACGGTCGTCGTCGATTAAATTTTAAACGTCTTCCACTCTACACGCGTTATAAAAAAAAAAAAAAAAAAATACCCGCGTTATTACCGCTGCCGCCGCCGCCGCCGCCGCCGCCGCACGTCGTCTTGTTTATTGTGCGCGCACACACACCGCCGCCGACGACGACGACTTCCTCTCTGGGTTTCGCGCCGGAAACCCGATTTGCATTCGAAACACAATGTGGCCATTAACCATACACATTATAATATTATATATTAACCGCTATATTTTTTTTTATTATTTTTTTTTTTTTTTAATATACCGCGGGTAGGCAGACGAAAACGACGCGCGCGCGCCAATTTGTTCGCGATTATATTCCAACACAATACCGAGTGCGTAACGCTCTGTGTGCGCGCCGGGTTCGCGATACGAAATCGCCCCCCCCCCGCCGACGACTCGACCGCCGTCACTTCAACGGGGCAACAACGTAATCACGCATATAACACAGGCGGCTGCGCCGTGTACCGTGTAACGGTGCGCGCCGCGCGTTGCGTTTTTCGCCGCCGTGCACGTTACGCCGCGCCGTATCCGGGCGCGAAACTGCGGTGCGGGTGTTGTGTATTGAAAACGCGCGGACAAAATAAAAATATAAATAAAATAAAAACCGGCGGTGTGAAAAACGCCGCGCGGACGACGGCCGCGGACTGTATACCGTACGCGATTTTTTTGTTTTCCTTTCTTATTTTCGAAACGATTTCGATTCGCGAACGCGACAAAACACTGCGACGACGCGGTCCGTTATATCGCGGCGAATCCGCGACTTCCGCGTGTTAATAATGCGATTTTTAAAATAACGTGCACCGAGAGGCGTGCAGACCGAGCGACACCCCGAGATGCTGTAAAAAAACGTAATCGCGCCGCAGTATTTAGCAGTAATTCGCCGTCATTGTATTGCTGCGTTGTAAATAACTCGAATATGTATGCATAGCGCATTTGGATCCGCCGTAATACTACAACAGTAGTCCAGCAGTATATTTACCCGAAAAAGTAAATTTCGCCGTGAAAAACGTTTTTTTTTTTTTTTTAAATTGTACGCGTATATAATGGAAAATCCGAAATTCCACACAACGATAGATAATATACAACGGTGTTTGATGAAATTATTTATTTATTATGTATTACATACACCTAGGTCCAATTACAAATGATGAGTATTGATTTAACTTATAATTAGGTGACAAGTTGAACAAACAAATAAAAAAAGAAAAATAACGAAAAACCAAAAAAAAAAAAAAAAGACAATATAATAAAGGAAAAATGAATTAAGAAAAAATATATATCATAATTATTTATAGTTTTAGTTTTCAAACAAAGAAGAGGTGATTATTTGCGGTGCGCATTAAACGCTTGATAGAGCAATTCTCGAGGAAATTTGTAGACTCGAGTGGAATGTGGAATGAGAGAGAGTGGATCGAGAAGGGGACATTAAAGTTGATGAGAAATAGGAGAGTAGGGAAATCAATCTTTCCGCTAATATGACAATAGAATATCTGAAAGGAGAATTCTATACATGGAAGAGTTTTACCAAGAGGAGAAACGAATAGGTAAAAACGGCGGTAAAATAATACACCCGCGGCCGTTCATTGTTATTGTCCTATTATTATTTTACCGCGGGTCGTTTTCGGCCCGAAAGACGCGGTGCGTACTGCGCGCGTTATTACGCGCGCATTACATCGCATTGAACTTCATTAGCACAGGACGCAAGTCTTGATGAAAATCATGCGCGGGCTCGTCGAGAAGTGCGTTGGGAAAGATCCGTGGTGTCGTGAAAAAAAAAAACCGGCGAGAGGTTTCCGTATGTAATGATATATACAAAACGGTATACATCTCAACATAATATTGTAAAATATTAATAATATCTACACTACATTTTATTATAGTGGACTCCACTTCAATGTATTAGTTTACAAATCAATTTAGATTAATACAAATAGTAAGTATTACAGTTAAATATATTATATAATAATAAAACATGATAACGAAAACCGGACAATACCACTCCACTATTTTCCCCTTTCTTTCTCATGGGAGACTTCTCCTTTCATCTCGACATTATACTAACGTACTGGAAGTCGTCATCGGTTTACCGCCTTTCTTCATCAAGCGAGAATGTCAGGATGTCGAACTATCGTTTTGTATTTGAAGAATTAATCTTATCGTCTACGCCTAAGAATCACCGTGGTTTTGTCTGTAAAACAATTTTAATGGATCTCAAGTCCAAAAACCTAATGGATCCAAAGTTCAATAGGCCATTTGATTTTGGCTGGAAAAAAGATTTCTTGATGGGGCAAAATTCTTTTGCCCCATCATTTGACAGTTTTATTATCTCAATAAAACTGTGTAGGGAAATTCTTACCATATATTATATCATTAATAAAGGCTAGTTTAGCTTGGCTTTCTTTATTTGATCTCTTTTTAAACTGAAATCGCCGACCGTTAATATCTAAACGCATATTTGTTTCAGTCAATCTACCTTTATCTGATTCTACAGTTTTGCCAGTACTCGTAGAAGAGGATCGGTCATTATTGGGCTTTTCTCTTCAATAGTTAACTGTACAATTCGGTTTTCTAAAAATAATTTTCATTATTTATACCGTTTCCACCACGATTATTTTCAGCTCTTTCAGTCGAATAAGCGTTTCTGCATATTTCCTTGGAATTGTCTAAACCTAGGGCTTTTCTTTTAAACGTGAAATTCTCTATTTTCAATCGCGTTCTTTGCTTTAAATATTCACGTACTTCCGGTTTCGATCTTAGTTTCTTTTTATCTGGTGTACGGTAATATATATCAATTGCATTTCCATTGGTCCTATATACCACCTCTCTTTTCCAACCATATTCAAATGGCCTGTTGAAAATTGGATCCATTGGCATTTTGGACTTTGGATCCATTGAAATTGTTTTACAGCCAAATGTACGGTGATTCGTAGGAGTAGATGATAATGTTAGTTCTTCAAATATAAAACGATCGTTCGACCTCCCGAGATTTTCGCTTGATGAAGACGGGCGGTAAACCGATGACGACTTCCAGTGCGATAGAATAATGTCGAAATGAAAGGAGAAGTCTCTTTTGAGAAGAAAAGGGGAATATAGTGGAGTGGTGTTGTCCGATTCTCATTATCATGTTTTATTATTATATAAGATATTTAACTGTAATACTTACTATTTGTATTAATCTAAATTGATTTATAAACTAATAAATTGAAGTGGAGTCCACTATAAAAAAATGTAGTATAGATATTATTAATATTTTACAATATTATGTTGAGATGTATACCGTTTTGTATATATCATTACATACGGAAACCTCTCGCCGGTTTTTTTTTTTCACGACACCACGGATCTTTCCCAACGCACTTCTCGACGAGCCCGCGCATGATTTTCATCAAGACTTGCGTCCTGTGCTAATGAAGTTCAATGCGATGTAACGCGCGCAGTACGCACCGCGTCTT